CAAACGCTTGAATACTTCTTCTAACCGGGACATTTCCTCATCAAATGTTGTTGTAAACACAATGACATCATCCAGATACACTAGGGCTATCCTCCATTGTAGGCCTTCCAGTACTCTTTCCATCACCTTCTCAAATGTTGCTGGAGCATTGCTAATCCCAATTGGCATCTCTCTATCTACCTGCAATTATATCTCTGCTTTATTTGCTGGGCTTATATACTAAAAAAGAGGGTGCCTAGAACAGACTAGAGTTGCCAGGAAAATTCAAAATCCTTGAGAATCTCATGCTGTATTACCAGCATCACGTGACTTCCACTGTCGTAACAATATGTTCAAGTATAATCAATGAAGTTGTCTACATTAAGTGATTAGTTAGCTCACATGTATTTGCAGTTTCTAACTAAAAGTAAACAGAAAGATAGTAGTGGACTTTCATTTAAACTGACATTAAAATGTGAAACATAAATTCAGTTGGAGTCAGTTATATAATAAAAGGAATATAAACACACTTGTGAATTCCAATTTCACAGTTTTCAACTTTAATGTACACTACGAATTTGGAATTCCTATTTCTATGACTTTTAGTACATAATTTCAAGGGTTTGCAGTTTTTTCTTTTACTTTTAAACTATATATAAGATAACTAGTTAGTTCTACATTAGTTTATATGAGAATTGAGAAATTTTGATGTCATCCTTGTGACTGTTTAAAAATGAATTTCATACATACTTTTGTTTATCACAACTAATTCAGGTACCAGTTTCTAATAAATTTGAACCATTAAATGCATGCAATGAGGAAAGAGATAAGTTAGAGGTTCAAGTAACATAACATAACTTTTGGGACAACAAGGGTCCTATTGGCCCATCTCAGCTGTCCCATCCTCTAAACTAGACTATAACTATTAAATAAATAAATTTAAAATAATCTTAAAGCTAGCCCTTATAGTTAACAAGCTTTCTCTTAAACACACTTAAATTTACTGCCTCTACAGCATCCAAAGGAAACCCATTCCAAAAGCCAACCACCTTGTTCAAAAAATAAAGCTGTCTTAGCTGAGGATGGCTCCTACTCTGCCAAAATGTATATCTTAGTCCCCTAGTCCTACTATTCTCACTGTTAAGTATGAAAAAAGATGATGCATCAACACTATCAATTCCCCTTGCAATCTTAAACACCTCAATCAGATCCCCTCTGACTCTTCCTTTTTCAATAGAAAACAGTTTGAAAGATCTCAACCTCTCCTGGTATGACAACTCCTCCATCCCATGCACCATTCTAGTATCCCTCCTCTGAACCCTTTCCAAGAATTTAATGTCCTTCCTCAGGTAAGGAGCCCAAGACTAAACACAATACTCCAAATGTGGCCTAACCAGTGACCCATACGATGAAATTATAACCTCTTTAGACTTGTATTCAATATTTCTGTAGATGCAACCTAATATCCTATTTGCCCTACCACTAGCAACAGCACACTGCTTGGATGGCTTTAGAGACTGATTAACTATTACACCAAGATCACTTTCATTCATGAGACTGTAAGGTTATTCTCATCCAAATGATACTTATTATTCAAATTATGATAACCCTGATGCATTTATTATAATTAAAACACATCTGCCATTTATTTGCTCAACTCTCTAATTATCTAAATCCTTTTGTAAATCAGTAGCATCCTCTTCACAGGTAGCAACACCCAAGACCTTAATATCATCTGCAAGTTTAGATAATTTATTGACCATTCCATCATCTATGTAAATAAAAATGAGCAAAGATCCTAAAACTGAGCTCTGAGGTACCCCACTTGTAACATTAATCCAGTTTGACGGAAATCCATTTATAACAACCCTCTGGAGGGTTCTCTCATTAAATATTCAGATAGTTATTAGTAGTGGGAAAAATAAAAAGTCTAGGAATTTGCTTTCCAGGTGCTTAAGTACAGAAGATTATACAGCATGTTGATGGTTTAGTTGCTGGTACCAGAGAACATTCTCTTTTTGTGGTGCATGTCTGAGCAAATGGTGTTGGAAATTGTAAATCAGAAGAGATGATCTCTAAGTATACAGAACTCCTCCGGAGGTTTAAGGACAGAAATAAATATATGGCACTTTTACGAGTGCTCTCATTGGCTACATGCAGGTATGAATTACTCAGCAAGGTCCAAGGCTTAAATGAAAGGTAATCAGAAATATGCTTATAGAGCAAAAAGGTGGGCTGACTGGATATGTGGGATAGTTTTCAGATTAAGGGTAAATTATATTTAATTTAATTAAGGTTAAGTAGTAGATTGTTCAAGAAAGCTCTAAATATGTTCATCAAAGATAGTTCAAACTAATCTGGAAATTAGAAACAAATAGATTGATAACTAGGGCAATAAGGAGTAAGCAAAAAGGAGATTAGAGCATAACAAGTCAACTAATAGTTTTAAAGATAAGTCTTGAAATTTTAAAGATAAATATGATAAGGTCAAGACTAAATTTAATAGCCATTATTGTAATGTTATAAGTATTACAAACAGAACAGGAGAGTTCATGGCTCTAGGTGATATGGAAAATTATGATTTAATGGGGATTACTGATATATGAATAATAATAAATTTGGTTAAAAAAGTCAATAGTAGCATTTATACTGATACCTTAGGAAGCCCACAAGGGCTTACGAGAAACAGTTTGTTGATAATATCTAAACTAAGGAGTTTTTTTTAAGTATGTTAAAGGCATGCAAAATGTTAGACTGGGAATTAATTGGCCTTTAGTTTAAAGGATGGTAATGGCAAAGTTATTGTTAAAGATTACAAAATCTATGAGTTTTTAAATGTCTTCTGTTGATTTTTACAAGATATTAGCACTATTCCTGATAGAGCATTCTATAAGAAAAAATGATTAAAAGTAGATAATGCACCAGAGCCATACAAAGTTTTCCCCAGGGTTTTAAAGGAGTGTTAAGAGTTGCCCTGAAAAGTATAGCCAGTTAGTCTTACTTCTGCAGTGAGAAAAAGTTTAGAAAATTTAATAAAGGTAGCTTTACAAAATAATTTAGTGAAATATGATATCATAAATGAATGCCAACATGGATTCACCAAAGGAAAACCTTGCCTTACTAACCTGTCTTTCTATTTTCCTTCAAGGATGTTACTTATTATTCAGAGGAAGAAAAGGTTGTAGGTTTGGTGTTCTTAGATTTTAAAAAAATGTTTTGATAAGGTGACACATAAAATATTAGATAAGAAAATCACATCAGTTTGGAACAGGAAAAACCTTGATAATTGAATTGTCAGATGTTTAGAAAGATAATGGTTGTTATTAATGAAGTCCAGACAAAGTGGACACTTGCTATTAGTGGATTACCTCATTGGCCTTTGCTCTTTCTTACTTGCATTAACGATACTGATAGGGGATAATTAGTATATTGGTAAAATGTGTTAGTCACATTCAACTCTTTGATATTTCTAGATACTGAATGATTTGGATCAATTGGTAAGTTGGACAGAAATTTAGCAAATGACCTTTAATTATAGTAAATGTAAGATAATGCATTTGGTTTATAATTTGGATCACACATTTGATATAGATGGGGACCATCTCAATAGCATAATGAAGAAATGGATCATGGCATAATTGTGGATAAGTCACTCAAACGATCCAAGCAGTGATCTGTTGCTAATAGTAAAGCTGATAGAATTTTAGAATATATTTCAATAAATATTGAAGTCAAAAGAGTTAATTATCTTTATACAAATCACTACAGTAGTTAAGCCTCAACTGAAATACTGTGTATAGTTATGGTCTTACCTAAGAAACAACATTGACTTATTTGAAAGGGTTCAGAAAAGGACTACTAGGATGATTCCAGGGATGTAAGGATTATCTTAAAGGGATAGGTTATGGATCTCTTATTTTCTAATGAGAAATGAAGGGTAAGAGGTGATCTTCCTAATTACTCAATAGGGCCTCAATAGGATTAAATCATCTGACTTGTATCACATTTGGAATATGGTGAAACCAGTGGCAGAATGATAGGTAGGGTAGTTGCTCAAGGCCCCTTTAAAGTTAGTACTTCTAACTTTCAATATTGAAATTGAAGGGAAGTATTCTGAAACACAGACAAAAATTTAAACATGATGGGGACAACAAAGGTTTTTGCCCTGGGGTCCTTTGTAACCTAGTTATGCTAATGGATGAGTTTAAGATTTGAAAAAAAAAAAAGAGAGACAGGCTATGCTCCAGTCATTAAGACAGTTAAATTTTTCTAACAGGTGACTGACTTATGGAATAAGTTACTGTTGGCAGTAGTAAATGCCAGCACTGCAGAAGAGCTTAAAGGAGGAATAGATGATTACCTTAACAGTAAAGAGTGGGTTTAATTTTTCAATGGGTAGGTATATAATTTAGAACCTAGGACAACATTCTGTACAATCCCCTTTTCTGTGGACTACACTAAACAAAAGTACCTTCTGATCTAATAAAGAATAAAACTTTTCTCAAAGATTTTCATGAGCTGGCAGATAAACCTCCCCCTTAACAAAACAGCTGGTTCTGCCCTTGTTAATTTAGTCATTACAACATTTATTATGTTGAAAATCCACATAAAGTTTAAAAACAATCTAGTGAAGTTATATATCTTCATACCTAGACCGGTTATTAATAACAATATATATTACTCAAAGTCCAAGCTCGGACTTCATCTCACTCTGAACATTTTCCTCCTCTTACTTAAAGTTAAACTAAAGACGAGATTGCATAAACCTTAGGACTCGTGGTCGTTCTTAATATGAATGCAATCTTCGCCCAAGTTTTTCAGTTCCATATGATCAGCGGGGAGATACGACGAGTTTTCAGACTCAGCCATTATAAATTAGTTATATTAGTAACATAATTTAGTTCGATTCACTCTTATTTTTGTACTGTGCCATGAAGATTATGAATAACGTATCTAAATATCTATTCTTGTTTTTACGTGTTAATATGTTGGAATCAGAATTTTTCTTTATACAATAAATAGCTTGATACTAATAATTGGGCTTTAATAAAACGGTTATGTAGATCAATATAAAACAATATCACCAATGCAAAAAACCTAGGCTTGATCTCAAGGATCAACGTAATAGTGTTTGAGACTTTTTTCAGGGGATAGTTCCCGGATGAGAATTTTTTCCTGGGTAAAATGTTCCTGCATAAAAAAAAAACAAATGCCTCGAAATACCCTTACGTATTATGTTTAGATTTATTATGCAGTCTGCAACAGAAATATATTAGAAATAAATATTCTGCCAGTTTATATTTTTAGTTTAGGTATAGAACTGGTGCAGTCAGCAATAGCTACGACCTCGACTATGTCATAGATAAAACATTTTCCTGTTCTGTTTTTAGAACAATATTTTTTGAAAATAAATAAGATACATTCATCAAAGAAATACAATCTGGTACTAATACTAATAGTAAACTTATTCAGCACAACTTTCATCTGAAATTATGATGAATACAGGTATACAAATTTTTATACACCTGTCTTCAGTTTCGGTTTACATAACATTGTCATCTTATTGTAATTGATTAAAAATATATTTACTAAACGTTTCCGTTTTAATAAAGGCATTCTGTACATGGGAGATTAATTCATCAACAACGCAGTTTTTCCTGCTGCATCGGCTCGTGTACGAAAGGACTTTCCACAGGCGCTAGAGCAGTTCAATTAAATAAAAATAATAATTTTGCTGAGACTTTAAATTTTTTTCAGAATGTATAAAAGCAAGCAATTGCTTATTATGATAGAGCATTGAAATAAACTACTCGTAGTAACAACAAAAAGAAAAATATATTACATTTTGTAGTTTACTCTTAGAGTGAAGTCTGGCTTAGTATTGTTACGTCTCTGGTCGTTGGTTAATTTTCGGTAAAAATTCTTTCCGAAAAACTTCAGCAATACAAGTCCTTTCTTAAATAAAACAAGTTTATTCTTTCTCAATACAACTTTGCAACACACTTAATTTCCACAGTCATTTTAACTTAAACACACGCTATAGTTCAACCTCTCTTTTTACACTTACCTGAATTCCCAAACGTCATTTTATCAAAATTAATTACACACTTCCTCGGTAGTCAGTAGTCCAACCCTAATATGCATTGGTCTTCAATGTCAGCCAAGTATACTTTCTGTCTGTCCTTTATGCCCATGAGCTCAATAGTTACCCACACTGGTCCCCACAACCTGGCAGAATGTCCTGTCACACCACGGAGCTTCTGTATGGCTTCTGGTACTCCTTTGTGATCTAGCACCTTGATACTCACAGCTGAGATGCAGAATCTATGACAAAGTTGCACTTTTGGCCATCCAGCTTTCCTGTCACATAGACACTGTGTGTGCTTGCCATTTCACACTTAGCTGTCGAGACTTTCACAATGGGGTTTTGTGGGCGTCCTTCAACACCAACCACTACTGGTCTCCCCGAGGCTGACTTATTGGTAGTATTCTTCTTACACTGACTCCTCATATGTTCTTGCTCTACACAGTTCCAACAATCTTTCTGGGTAGCAGCCTTTCCTGCCGTGGCATCTTCCCTGTGTTGAAGTTGCCAGCATTGTGCTCTCTTGTGCCCAGGTTTGTTCCAGTGCCAGCAAAGTCCCTCAAACTTCTTTGAAAGTTGACCTTTTTTTTTGACCTTGAATCCTGATGACTGTACCAACCTTGGTACCTCTGTGCTGGACTTAACATAGGTTTCGAATTCAAGAGCTCTGGCCATTGCATCCTGCATAGTAGAGGGGTGTGCTTGCTTCACTTGTATCTTCAGTTGTGGACTGTCCAAGGCGTCTACAAACTGATCCATCAGCAGCAGCTTGAGGACATTGGGTGGTGCTGTTGGGTAAGCCTTGTGTGCCATACTTTCGAAATCCTG